CTAAACTAACACAAACAGAGGTAGAACAACTAAATAAACCCATAACAAAAGAAGAGATTGAAAAGGTAATTAAAAAACTCCCAAGAAAAAAAAGCCCTGGCCTGGGTGGCTTCACTGGAGAATTCTAGCAAACTTTCAGAGAAGGGTTAACACCACTACTACTAAAGGTATTTCAGAGCATAGAAGAGGATGGAATACTCCCAAACTCATTCTATGAAGCCAGCATAACTCTGATACTAAAACCAGGTAAAGACACCACACACACAAAAAAAACCCAGTTGCTGTCACGTTGATTCTGACTCACAGTGACCCCATGTGTGTCAGAGTAGAACTGGGGTCACAGTGGCTGATTTTTTCAGAAGCAGATCACCAGGCCTTTCTTCCGAGGTGCATCTGGGTGGATTTGAACCTCCAACCCTTGTTAGAAGCCAAATACGTTAACCATTTGCACACTCATGGACTCGAAAGGAAGTTACTTAAGGTTATATAGCTGGTTAGTAGTAGAGCCACAATACAGGGGAGCAGAGCCCTGAACACCTGTCCTGGACTGTATGTGAGTGAGAATAACCTGGTATTGGGTTAATCAATGGGGGTTTGGGAGTCTTACTGGTTTCTGCCACGGACTCCACCCTAGCTAACTCATCTTAAAACCCAGGTAGCTGGGTTCAGAAGGATATGGTCCCCAGTTAACTGACAAAAAGGCTGAGGCACAGCTTGCAGGAATCACAGACATTCCACAAGGTACTGAGCTCACTCAGTAGTGTAGGAAGAGAGCTGTATCCCCCAGTCTTCCGTACCTCCCACCGCCACACACACACACACACACACACACACACACACACACGAATGTAAACTTCCAGGGAACTTCCACATATCGCTTGCCCTGCACCTGGGGCAGTGCCTGAACACCATAGGGTTCAAGCAATGTGTGTTGAATGAATGAATGAGTGAATAAAATGGATGGATAAATTAATACAAACACACACATACACAATACACCCATCCCTGTAAATAGTTACAGGCAAGTATGCACACCGCATAAATGCATAAATGCAAAACATTCAGTTATAGACAAGCATGTAAGATACAGATACTTAATTGTATCTGTGCACACTCATACACAATACACACTCATGCCCACATACAAAATCCACATCCAAAATAAATCTACATCCAAAAGAAAGACACATAAAAATGTGTACGTGTACATACATTATAGGCAAACATATATGATCCAAAAATCACAAACATACACCTACTCACCCCCATCTACACACACAGCAATGCTCAGACACCCTCCACCATGACCCTGGGCCCAGGAAGGAGTCTGTCTGCCCCAAAAGCCCTAGCATGTTGGAGCTCGTCAGAACGTTCTTTGCAGCCTCTGCTTAGCCAGCTAGCAACTGGTCCCTGGCTCCTGGACCTCCGGGCTGGGGGCTGGCTAGGCAGGGAGGCAGCTTCTCTGGCAGCCAATGTGGGTGGGCGGGCAGCGGACGCAGAGGTCACTGGGGTCAGATCCGGCGCTGTCCTGGCCTCCCTGCTCCTGGCTGGAATGTGAGCTGGAGGGGCCGCCTTCCAGTCCTCCCTCTTCCCTTGCAGCCACCCACTGGTCCCACATCCAGGCCAACCCGTGACTGGAATCCAGGTTCTTGGAGCTAGGGAACTGGGCATGGTGGGTGGAGCGGGGGGTGAGGCATGGTGAAGAACACTCGAGGACCATGGGAGGATCCACAGAGATGCACAATCACACACAGAAGCCGTCCAGAGACTCACACGCAGAGGAAGACACTCAGAGACACAGGCAGGCATGCAAACTCACAATGTCACTGCAACACACCTTCACACACACTTCTAACACACCCAGAGACATAGCGGACACATGCACACGCATAAGCACACAGGCATACAGAGGTCCAAGAGGCCGGACTCACACACAGAGCCACCCTTGTACATACAGAGGACACATGCAGACCCTCAGACCACACAGAGACTTGGACACGTGCACACGCAGACACCCATGCACATGCACACTGACACACACGTGCACACGCAGACACCCACAGACGTGCACCCTGTCAGCAGGCCTCTGTCGCACTGGAGAATTTCCTCCTACTCCCGGGACCAGGAGGAAATGCCACACTCGGTCACTCACCACCGCACGTGCCCCGGCGCTCAGGGCGGGCCTGAGCGGACTGCTTCCCAAGGAGGAAACTGGTGCAGGACCCCCAGCCAGGTGCCCTGATGTGTTTCCGGTGACCACCCAGAGCTGGGCCGGGCTGCTGTCTGAGTGCCTGGCAGGAAGGGGGTGCACTGGGAGGGATGGTTCTGGAGTCAGGTGGCTTGGGTTTCATCTCTGCCAGTTCCTGGGACACACACACACACTTTTCAAGAATGCGTATGTTTTTACAACATGAAAAGGCACAGGCACTCTGGGAGCCTCAGTTTCTTCAACTATAAAATGGGATTAGTAATCCTTTCACCCCTAGAGATTGTAGGTATGGCATAGGTGCCACACTGAAGAAGGGCCAGACTAAGTTGCTGCCTTCCTAGGGGTGGGGTGTCCCCCGTTCCTCGCAGACACTGGGCTCCACACCTGGACGCCCGACCCAGGGTGGCTGGCCCGGAGGAGCCCGAGCGGGTGGCCCTCTTCGCTGGCTGGCACTGATGCTGTCTGGATCAGCCGGTGACCCGAGGGAGGCTGCGGGCTGGGCTTCGACGGGGCGTTGGGATCTTCCACGCGCTCCGGGGTCTGGGCCGGCGGGTCCGGAGCTTTGGACGCCCCGCCCAGCCCGCCTGGAGCCTCCCCCAGTGGGCGGGGCCTCGCTCTGAAACCCAGTCGCCGACAAGCTTCAGTCCCAGAAGGTTGCTGCTGTCTGAGGAGGAAACTGCATCTTCAGACTCCTGCCCAGTCACGAGAGAACCTGGGGTTGCGCTGGGCGCCCGACGGACCTTCCCCAGGGACCCGCCTGCCCCACACCGCCTCGCCCCACCGGCCGCTCCCCATCAGGTGCCCCAGCGAAGCCTCACCTGCGGGCTCCTGACTCCCAGGGCTTCCAGAGGATGCTCGGGCCTCCAGCAGGGGCCTCGGGGCAGCAGTGAGTGCCCCCGCTGGTATCTTCTCCTTCTGGGCCAGGGGCTCCCCAGGGGACGAGCATGGTGGTTTTCCTTCGGAGCCCCCTGGCCCAGGTCGTCTGAGATGATGCCTGCCATGAGGCTGTTCACCTGCTTCCTGCAGCTTCTGGCTGGGCTGGCGCTGCCCGCCGTGCCCCCTCAGGTAAGAACGCCCCACCCCAAGCCTGTCTGCCCTGAGCTGCCCACCCCCAGCAAGCACTCTAAGCAGGGCCTCTTGCAATCACAGACCCCCTCCAGGGAGCAGCACCGCCAAGGATGTCCCAGCCCTTCCCAGGAGCCAGGTTGGACCGGCATCCCCTGGGAGGACATCTCAGGCTGGGCAGCCCCTCGCTCCAGCCCCTGGAGGCTGTCTTGGCAGGGATAGGGAAGCCACAGAGAAGGGAGAGAGGTTTCCTCTTTGTCCCCTGAAGCCCTGGTGGGTTTGCTAAAAGCATCTCTCCACTAATCCCAGGTGGGTCCCTGGCCTTGTGGTCAGGGTCGAGGCTTTGTGACCAGGCAGGCCCCCCCAGGACCTCTGACCTGGCCTAGTTGGGGGGAAGCTGGCTGAAGACGCCAGCAGTGGGGAAGCTGGGCCCTGCCCCCATCAGGGTATAGGGCTGAGCTGGAGGCTCCCGGGTGGGCTGGAGACAAGACAAGGGGGCTTGCTGTGCCCTCTCTCCTGGGTGGGTGGCTGGAGGTCCTGAATGTGGGGCCTGGGAAGTGAGCAGGGCCCTTTTCCCAGGAACTGGGTGAGTCTGGCCGGGAGCCAGCTTGGGCAGTGAAATCCTGACAAAGCCAATGAGCTCCCTTACCACTGTGCTGTTCCACTGCCCTGGGAGTCCCCAGCCCCAGCCCCAGAGTAGGGTGGGCTGGGAAGCCCCCCAGGGGCCAAGGAGCCCCGCCACCACCGCCTGGTGCAGGGCTGGACAGGGGTGTAACGTTACCGGCAGCACCAGCCCATGGCGCCACCCGCTCCAGCCCCTCAGCTCCCACCAGCTGATCATTTCCCCCTGGGCTCTGGCACCAGGCCAGTGCGGGCTGTACAGGGCCCAGAAGGGGCTGGACGGAAGGGAGACCCCCACAGGATTGAAAAATCTCTGGAACGCAGCAGGCAAAGGGCCTCTAATAAGCCTCTAGCCTCCTGCCCTTTTCCAAATGAGGAAACTGAGGCCACAAATGGGCGGGACTCACCAAGGGTCCAGTGGGTTTTTAGTTGCACCTGGAAAGAGGCATATCTGAGACAGGGCAGAGAAAGTGTGTGGAGCCGGTGGGAAGGGGCTCAGAGGGGCCACCTCTTGCAGAGCCCCAAGGTAGCCCGCCCCCCCGCCTCATCCCTGCACATTTCTGTTCACAGCAGTGGGCCTTGTCTGCTGGGAACTCGTCAGAGGTGGAAGGTAAGCTGGCTGGGCTGGGAGTGCACCTACTCACCGAACCGCTCTCCTCTTTCCTCCCAAGCCAAGGCAGAGAATGGGCAAGGACTGGCATGAAGGGTGGGTGCTGGCTGATAGTAAGTTGAGGAGAGTCTACCAGCTAGACATCCTGGCTGTTGAAGTTGGTAGGACCCGAGACATCCCCTTACTGTGACCCAGAGGGCTAGAGTAGGTCTATCTCAGACCAGGGCTGCGGTTGGACTGGCTGACTCATAGCCCTTCCCCAGTATGATGTGAGGTGGCAGATAGGGTCCTGGAGAGTTGGTCAGGAAATAAGTGCCAGGGGCCAGACTGGGGGTCTGGGAGCTGGACTCGGTGGGCAAGCAGTCAAGAGGGTCAGGGAGAGGCAAGGGGACCTTCCAAGCAGCCTAGCCCTGGTGGAGCTGCAGGCATCCGACCAGGCTTTCATTGATTACAAACAGACAGAACATGAGTCTCGCCCTCCCCGGCCCTTCCACTCCCTGCTCCGGGTTGCATCAAGAGGGAATCTTCAAAGGGCAGCAACGAGACATTTGCCAAAGAGACATACATGCAGAAGGCAGGAGGCCCGTACCAGGCCCCCTGCCTCACTCCACCCTCTCTGACTCTCTGAGACGTGCAGAGTGGCCACACACCACTGCCGAGGCTTCCCATGGCGCCGTGGGAGAGGGGGCGTGTAGGGACGTGCACACGCACACGCGTGATAGCCATCTGGGAGCTGGGCACACCCTTTGCAGGCCTGTCAGCCCGCCCAGCCACCCGCCCACCTGCCTGCCTGGCAGCCAACCTCTCCCGGGCCTGCCCATGTTCCTTCAGCCCCTTAGCCCCCCGAGGAAGTGGGGGAGGCAGCTGCCTTTAACTTCACTGACCCACCCTCACCCCAGTACACCCTTTGGGACTGGCACAACATTATGCTCTCAGGGATTTGGAGAGGGACCCACCCCCACCTCCACCCCATGCCCTTTTTGATGCTTTCAGCGTAGTTCAGGCAAGAGTTAATAGAGAAGTCTAAGCCTCAGTTTCCTTATCTGTAAAATGGGAGCATTAGACTCCATGATACCTAAGATTCCTTCTTTTCCTAAGATTGTAGGATTTGGTGACTCCTTGGAGGACTCCAGGGACTGGGGTGAGGAGGCATGGAAATGTAGATTTGTTAGGTTAGGTCACCTCACCTGTCATCCTGCTCCATCAGGGAGCCTGTATTGTGGCCAAGGGAAGTACAATGAGCTTTGGCCCCCAGTCATGAAAATCTGAAAATATCATCCCCTCCTGCTAACACAGCAGGGTCCATATTGAGGAGGAAGGCTTTCCAGCCACAGACATTGATTTTTACTATTATTGTAATTCTGTCATGACCACAAGGCTGTGAACTAGGAAGGCATTGTTATCTGTCTCCACCTTTTATAAATGAAGAACCTGAGGCCCAGAGAGGCCTGAAGTCTCTGACATTTCCCCCGCCCCGTGGCTGTGGCACAGCCGAGTACACAGCACCAGGCTCCTAACAGCTCAGGGTGTCCCTTGCAGCAGGCTGTGACCATGGGGAGGACACCTGCCAGGCTCGGGCCAGTGGCCAGCAGCTCTGTCCAGCCCTGTGGCCCCTCCCCATTGGCTTCCTCAGGAGCTTGCTCTCAGGATTAAACTTCTTGGGCTCCTCTCTCCTGGGTGGTAGGCAGCTGGGGCCAGATGGGAGGCTCAACCACAGGGCTGGAGAGAGAGCTGAGAGCCCACTCGTGGCCCCAGAGGCGGCCAGGTGCCTGACTGGGCCACAGCCTCCCACTCCCCTCACCCCACCCCCGCCTCTGGAGCAGGTCTGGGGCCAGAGGAAGTGCTCTCAGGAGCAGCTGAGCAGAGCTCTTCCTGCGGGGCTCAGCCCACATCTGGAGTGGTCACCGGCTAGCTCCCTCAGCCCGGCCCCTCGCCCAGCCCCTTCTCTTTCTCCCACACACCCAACAGGGCCTCCAGGGGTAGATTGCCCTCTTTCCTGGTGGCTGCCAGGTAAACCAGCCCCGGCCCACTTCCCTCTTGGCCCTCCCCTAACACAGGCCACCCGGGAAGTGGTGGGTCTCAGGACTTCAGAGCCCTGGAGCTTGCGTCCTGCTGACAGTCTGCATGGCTGGGTGTGGGTGTAAGAAAAGGAAATCCCTTCTTCTGTTGCCAAGGTTGAGCCAGCTCTACTTAACCTGGCTGTGGCCCCTGCAGCCCAGCTAGGTGGGTGTCTGTTTACATGATGGTAGAGGCTGGGGTGTCCCTTTTCTGCTGCTGTCCCCCTCCCTGAAGGCTGGTCCCGGGGCAGGGGCCCGGCCTTCTGTGGCTGTTTGGCGGCTGGCTATTCCTCCACTGTTATTTATGTTTTACAAGAAGGATATTAAACTCCCAGAGTCACATCAGTGCTCATGAAGATTTTAGACTAAACACACAGCTCGTGGAGTTGACGATAGGCGGGTGCTGTATTGCAAAGGCAGGCTTCCCCTGTCTTCAGGGCTACCTTTGGAGACAGAGGACTTGTTTCCCACTTGGGTCCAGGGGGAGTGTCTCAGTGGCCCGGAGAGGTGGAGTCCAGGGAGACCTCTGGGGCCCCTTCCCAGCCCTGGCCCAGCCCTAGTGTCCCTAAGCAGAGCAGGGCAGAATGGAGCAGCAGACAGCCAGATAAGCACGGTTTATTGCCTCTGGCTGCCTTGGCCAGCTCCACGTGGACGCACCGCCTCCTGGGTATTTTCCACCAGCTTGCAGCCTTTCCTCAGGGCCTCTGCTAGGGTTGAGGCTTATTTTTCCTCTGAGATTACCCTGGGACTCACGTCCTCATAGGCTCGATGCAATGGACTCTGGCCCCTTCTGCCATCTAGGAAGGGCCATGAAGAAGTGAGGGGCTGCTAGAAGAGGCCATTGCTCTATGGCAGAGGTTGCAGGGTCCCTAGGCGACCCAGTTCCCCTGTCCTTCCCCATCAGCTGGGGGTGACTGTCAGGCATGGGCAGGATGACCCAGGGCAGGACAGGTTTCTCTACCTATGATTTCAAGGCTGGGCTGGGTTGCAGTCCACCCACCAGAGCTGGAGAGGCCTTAGCAACCATCTGTTCCCAACCTTCTTCTCTTTCCCCAGGCGAGGAAACAGCTATGCCCAGGAAGGTTTAGTGACCTCCCCAAGGTCACACAGCCAGTGTAGGGTCTGGGCTAGAAGCCAGGTCTACTGGCTCTGGCCACTCACTTCCTTTGTTCCTGTTTGGGACCTGGCCCCAGGCCTTCCCCTGAAGGAGCAGGGGTGTTTGAAGGATTCCAGATCAGCGCACAAAAGTTCCCGTTCACGACCAGCAGGGCATTGTGGGGGCTGGGGATGTCCCTGCTAATCCTCAGTGAACTGTCCTCTGATCAATCAGTAATTACTTAGCCTTTGTTTACTGGGCTCCTGTCCTCGCAGAGGCTCGATTTGGTTGTAAAGGAGATAAGAGCTACCAATGGCCGAGATAAGGCAAGCCCTAGGGACCATGTTGTATTCAAGGGAGGAACATCTGTTCATGCTGGAATGGAGAAGGCTTCAGAGAAGAGGTGGGAGAAATGAGGGGTAGGATTTAGATAGAAATGGACCACAAAGAGTGCAAGTCCACAGGTGGGAATTCCCATTGTACTACCCCAGCTCAGGGAGAGGCCTGGTCGGATGAAAATGGGGAGTCAGGTTGGGGCACACTGCTTGAATGAGGTCTCCATTGCCAGGCAGAGGAGTTGGCACTCAGTGGAGTAGGAAATAGGGGAGCCAGGGTGGGTTTTTGAGAAGAAGACTAAAGGGAAGGCCAGCCCTCCCTGGGGACCCCCAGAACCGACTGGTTTCTGCAAGTTCCCCAAGATGGAGGAGGCACCAGGTCAGGCCTGAGAAAGATCCAGAGAGGCTTGGGAGCTGCCAGGGGCACAGTCCTCGGAGCCCCAAGAGCATTGAGGCAGAGACTGTGGTGCCTGAGATGAGACTAGAGCAGAGAGCTTGGGATGCTGAGACATTCTGTTCTACTGGGATTTCCATCCAGCAGATAAGCTAAGGGCCCACCAGTCAACCTCAGAGGGATCACATCATGAGCCCAGAGCAGGGGGAGCTCAGAGAGGGCTGGGGGCTTCCTGGAGGAGGGGGACTGGGAGCCAGGTCTGTGGCTTGGGGACAGGGTCCACCCTGGCCTGACCCGGCCTTCTGTGCCTCCACGCAGTGGTGCCCTTCCAAGAGGTGTGGGGCCGCAGCTACTGCCGGGCCCTGGAGAGGCTGGTGGACATTGTGTCCGAGTACCCCAGTGAGGTGGAGCACATGTTCAGCCCGTCCTGCGTCTCCCTGCTGCGCTGCACAGGCTGCTGTGGTGATGAGAACCTACACTGTGTGCCCGTGGAGACGGTCAACGTCACCATGCAGGTAGGGAGGGGCTCCTCACGCTTCCGTGTGTCCCATTGCCCATACCCCTGCTCAGAGGGCCACAGATCCTGGCCGCTTGGGGGGACCCAGAGGGAAAGAGGCCAGGCCCAGCCAGGTCACAGGACTGGAACCTGCCTCCCAGGCCAGTGCTCTCACCTCCCCAGCACTGTGCCCTCCTCCTGAGCCCTATCACAGCTCTGAGCCACTCACCAACACCCTGGTTAAGTCCTATCCAAGCTTAGCCCTATCCCAAGACCCAGCAGGTTTGAAAATGCTCTGGTGGAAGTTGGAAAAGAAATCTGCCCATATTAAAGAAGGCCTTGTTTATACCGAGGTGTCCTTGGGTGGTACAAACAGTTAACCATTTGGCTACTAACCAAAAGGTTGGTGGTTTGAATCCACCCAGAGTTGTCTCAGAAGAAAGACCTGGTGATCTGCTTCCAAAAAATCAGCCATTGAAAACCCTATAGAATGTAGTTCTACTCTGAAACACGTAGGGTCCTCATGAGTCAGAATCAACTCGATGGCAGTTGGTTTGGTTTTTCTTTTTGTGGGTTATACTGGGAGCTGTTGGTGCCCTCTCAAGCAAGCTCATTTCTGGAGCTTTACACACACACACACAGGTTTATTGTGTATTTATTGAGAAATGCCATGCACTGTGCCAGGTGTTTTACAAATGTCACCTCATTCAGTCCTTCGAGGCAGGTGCTATCCTCATTTTACATTGAGGATGTTGAGGTTTAGAGATTTTGTTTCACTTGTTCGGAACCATCCAGCAGGAGAGAGGGGGAGAGTGGGCTGCTGGAAACCTATGGGCCACCCCCCAAACCAGGCATCTACTTTCTCTCCCCACAGCTCCTGAAGATCCGCTCTGGGGACCCACCCTCCTATGTGGAGCTAATGTTCTCTCAGCACGTGCGCTGTGAGTGCAGGTAGGTCCTCGCCGTGGGGAGGAGGGGCAGGCCCCTATACACCTGGAAGCCTCAGGGAAGGTAGGTCCAAGGGGTCCTGGGCAGAGGCCTGGCTGCCCATCCCTGCTGTAGGCCACACTTCCTTCCCAGCTGAGGGAAATCGGGGACCCACTCTGAGGCATTCGGTGGTAGCTGCCTTTCATTTTGTCCTCAACCCCAGCTGGTTTTGCCTGGGGAGGTGTTCCTGCAGCTGGAATACAGCTGCCAAGACACCACAGGGGAAGAAGTGTCTGGGTCCCTTTACAGGGGCTGGGGGCACATTCCCCCCACACACACCTGAGATGAGAGGCAGCTGCCGCAGGCCCCTGGAATAAGCACCAGGAAGCAAAGACATTGCAAGTCTGAACTGCATTCTGGACCCAGCTGTGTTGCCACGGGAGGAGGCAGACTGGGCTGAGGAGCAGAAAGAAGGACTAGGCCTGATGGGAGGAAAGGGGTGGAAGACAGGAGGCAATGTGTGGTTTCTTTGAAGTCAGGGACCCTACCCCCACCCCCACCCCACCCCGCAGAGCCTCTGACCAGCACCAGCCTTGCCACCTGTGCCCAGGGACACTTTGAACCTTAGCTACCAGGAACAGCAGACCTGGCACTTCCAGCCAGCTTCAGGGAAGAGAGAAATGGGCAGAGATGCTGTTCCTGCTGCCACTGGGCTGTGGATAGAGGCACCAGACTAGAGAGCCTGAGCCTTATCCTGGGCAGGAAGATGGGGGAGGACTAACATTTGTGCCTAGCCCCACACTTTACTGTGTTTTCTCATTTATTCAACAAATATTTATTGAGCACCTACTTGGGATACAGTGGTGAGCAAGACAGGCAAGGTCCCTGCTCTCATAACAACCCTAGGAGGTAGGTACTATTGGCCTCCCCATTTTATAGATGAGGAAATTGAGGCTTGGTAGAGTTATGTGATTTTCCACAGCTAGTAAGTGTGGCAGGAGGGATTTGAACCCTGGCCCATCTGACCCCTAAGCCTGCCCTTTTTCACGCTACTTCTCATGGCCATTACCACATTCTCCAAGAGCCCCAATACTGTCTTGAGCTTGGCCCTGCCGGAATGTCCAGGGCTCTGGCCGTCCCTTTTGGCCCTCAGCCCAGCTGTAGGCCCTCTTCACTGTGCCAGTGTTGGGGAGCCTGCCTTAATCCCTTTCCTTCCACCCCTCCCAATCAGGGCTTAGCTATATAACAGTTGTTCAGTAATGAGCCCTCCCGACCAATGCTGGATGGTGATCTTTAACCTGCTACATCACCTTTGCCCTCATAGCCACTCTGTTGGGGCAGGCAGAGGAAGAGACTGAGGCTGCAAGAGTGTCCTTAACTTGACCAAGATGGCAGAGACACAACCAGGACACCCCCAAGAGTTCCTGGTACCCTGCCCTGGCTCCCCAGGGAGGCAGCCAGCCCCAGGCAGCATTCCCTAGCCCTGAAAACAACTCTTACCATGCCGCCATGTGCCTCCATCCACTCTTCCCGGGGAAGACTGAGGCCTGTCCTCTTGCAATGGGCCAGGCAACAAGGGACATCTTTCTTCTCTCTTCTGGGCCAACAGCCACAGCTCTGGGAGGCAGATCCGGAACATGCCTGGTGACTAGGGGGCTGTGCTCACCTTCCCTCACCTCCTCACGCATGCTCAGCACACATTCCCCAGCGCGGTGGTGGTAGTGGTGGGGTTATGCACTGACAGGCAGTCTTACCTGGCAGCAAGGCAACCATTCCCCAGTTCATGGCCCGGCCTGTCATTTACCATCCTTGAGGAAACACCCAGAATGCACCTGGAAGGCAGGGCAGGAGCAAGGGAAGGAAGTGAACAGAGACTGGCCTAGTGGGACAGCAGAGAACAGACTCAGATTTGATGTCAAGAAGCTGAGGGGTGTATAAGGAGGTGGAAAGGGCCCCAAACGGGAATTAAGTTCCTCTCTTGGTGGGGTCCCCAGAAACTAGAGTGGGAGCTGAAACCTAGAGGCCTCTGACCTTATCTCCCTCTCTAGCTCCATGCCGCCCCCTAGTGGCCCCAATGCTAACTTTAGGGCCAGGACTCCGGATGTCTGAGGGGAGGTGTAGGGGCAACAGGGAGTCACCACTTACCGCTTTCCTGCTTCTCCGCTGCTCCTCTCTCTGTTTTCCCAGGCCTCTGCGGGAGAAGATGAAGCCAGAAAGGTAAGTGGCCTGGCTAGGGCTGGGGTTCTTCCTGCCAGCCCCTGTCCTAGCATGGGGGCCCCCAGTCACATTGTCCTGACGCTTTTGGCTTATTGCAGGAGAAGATCCAGGGGCAGGGGGAAGAGGAAGAGAGAGAAGCAGAGACCCACAGACTGCCACCTGTGAGTGTGCTGGGAGCCCAGGGATGGCAAGGAGGCTGGGCCAGAGGGGAGACCCTGCCCTGCTGGCAGGGGTCAGCTATCTGGGAGGGGAAAAGGCAAGGCTCAGGACTGTCTTGGGGTCAGAACATGGAGTTACACCTCCTTGAGATTCTAGGGCTCAGGAAGCATCAGGGGACCTTGGTTCTTGTCCTGCTTCTCCTTGTGTGCGGCCTTGAGCAAGTCTTTTCACTTTTCTGAGCCTGGTTTTTCTCTCTGTGTGGAATGAGGGGCAGGGGGTCTGCCAAAATTCAATTATTCTTCAAACACTTACTGAACATCTACTGGGTGACAGGTACATCAGTGAACAACACAAACAGGATTTCTGCCCTTATGGTGCTTACGTTCTATTGAGAAAATTCTAGCAACTAGAAAGTTATATAAGGTTACTTGCTAGTGGCCCCTGGGGAAGGTGAAAACCCCCACTGGATCCCAGGGGGTCCTTAGGATCCCTTTGCTGCTTCCTCTTCCCCTTTTCATGTTACCTGCCCATCTTGGCTTCTCACCTGGGGGCAGCAGGCTGGAGTCGCAGGCCTGAGTGTGGCTGTGAGAGAAGTATTAGAGAAGGAAAAACCCAAACCCAAATCTATAAAGGTAAATAGTAAAAAAAAGAAGAAGACGAAGAAGAAATATTTCATTTGTACAGTAAGTCGGTCACACTACAAATTAACTGTCAGGGGCGAAGGACTCTCCCAGCTTTAAGGCTCCAGGAAATCAGTTCAAGCTATGAGACGGGAGCTACCCAAGTCCTGCCCCTACCACTCCACAGGCTGAGGCACACCACCACACATACCTCTCTGAAGGTGGGGACTCTCTCCCCTGGGCCTAATCAGTGATTTGAGGAAGGTGCTGGCACTGAAGTCAGCACAGGCCCACCCTGGATGCAAAGTGTCCGATGGCCCTGTTTCCCGGGGCAGCGGTCTTCAAACATTTTATTCAGGAACCTCTTAAAAGAATTTCAAAAAACCATATGCTCTCCTGCTCATTTTTAAGTTGGTCTTGAACCTTTTCATCATAATTATAAACAATTTCAAAGGATATAATTTCTGGTCTACTATAAACATGAATATTTTAGTATAAAGCTATTACATAACTCTTCAGATGTGTCCGATGGCATCTATATGCTATTCTAATTTAATACTCAGCATCATCCAGTCTTTTTAAAATGAGCAACAGCAACCCCAAAAATACATGAACACCTCTTTAATAGTTGCAATTGCATATTTACATTGCTTCTTTTTTCCTTGAACTTGTTATTTCCATTTCACTTCCCCCACAGAATTTCAGCCTAATTTAGTATATTTTTAATGCTAAATATCTTTTATCACCTTGTCATATTCCTCTACCACAAAAATGGTATATACATTTGAATTATTTTAGATTTCCTGTGAGCATAAAACTCTTGAGTTGAAATTTCTTTGGAATGAATTGTCAAAATAATTCTAGTAGTATCAACTGGCCCAAACAGCACACATGTTAAACATAAAAGAGAAATTTACTGGGAAAGCATCTCGATGAGATGGATTTGGAGAGTTCTTTTCCGTTAGTCAACTTGCCCATTAATGAGCGTGACTACCCGCCAGACGGAGACAGAATTCAACATTAATTCCACTCCTGTTTATCATTTTTTATAGATGAAAAGGTTGAGAAACCTTGGTTCACATGAGTGAGTACATGGGACTGGGGGGAATTTTGTTTTATCAACATCACTCAGTTACCCGGTTTCCTTCCAATTTACTTGCCAAAGAACTCGTAGTGATCTGCCAGCAAAAATTACTTTTAATGATCTATTAGCTGACAATTCGGTTACGCTGTTCTTCAGTTTTGTTGAAAGCAAAGACTTGGAAACCACCTGACTTGCAAAAGTCTTAGTTACCCATTCATTGGCCATATTTCCTTTCTCGACATCTACACCAACCACTAGCTCAAATCGTCCTTTCGTTTAGTGTTTCTGAATATTTTTACCTTGGGGCAAAGCGCTGAAACAGGATTTGAAAAGGGCAAGATGCTGTCCTTTCTTTCTAAAAGGAGAAGGGCAGTTGTGAAAGAGGTCATGCGCTTTCTCACGCAGACAATTTTAAGACAGAGTAGGTACAGAGGCTACAGATGGATTTCTTTAAAACTATCAGTACCCATGTACCCATTGGACAATCTTCATGTATGTCCATGGGTACATGTATCCCCGTTTGAAGACTGCTGTCCTCGGGTAACCAGAGGCATCATAGCTCGAAGTCAGATTGGGTTCAAATCCTCACTCTGCCACTGACTAGCTGTGTGACCTTGGGCAAGTTCTTAACCTCTCTGAGCCTCAGCTTCTACATCTGTAAGAGGAGGATAATAATAGTGTCTTCCTCATGGGTGTTGTTAAAGGTAAATGAGACCGTGCTCAGCACAGGACTGGGCATCTGGGTAAGTGCTTGGCGAAAGGTAGCTCCTAGCTTCTTGTTGCCTCGGTGCAAGCAGGGACCCAGGAGTGCTGCATTCCCCCCACGCTCACTGTCCAAGCTTTCCCTCTGGGTCTATTCCCCCTCCCATGGGGGGGGGACCTTAGCCTCTACCACATGCTAATACCCCCCCCCGTCTGTGTTTGGTCTCTGGCAGGTGTGGCGATGCTGTCCCCCGGAGGTAACCAGCCCCTCGGCAGAGAGAGGAGGAGAGAGACCCCACTCCCGGCTCGTGTATTTATTACCGTCACACTCAGTTACCTTCCTGCTGGCACCTGCCCCCTATTTATTAGCCAATTGTATCCCTGCTGAATGACTCGCTCCCTCCAAGATGAGGGACAGGGACGAACAGGACCTTCAGGAATTCAGTGCCTTACACAGAACGTGAGAGAAACGAACAAAGAAGGCGGCCATGGACCTGTGGATACTTCAGCTTGAGAAGAAGCAAGACGTGGTCTCGTGAGGGGCAAGCCAGGCCCCAGAGGCCCTGGGGGTCTCCAGGGGGCTGGAGGGGGGACCCACTGCCTGTTCGTGGGCCTTGGGCTCTGCACGGACAAGCAGCCCTTGCTTTGCGGGCTCCTGGCCAAGTGAGGGTGGAGGAGCCTGCTCTGAGCCTCCATGGCCCTGGCTGGGTGGGAAGGTGGGAAGGCTGGAGGTGGCCTGGCCACTTCCTCCTCTTCCTGGCAGCACCTCTTCACCCTGGAGATCATACATTCAAAGCTCTGAGAGAATGGTGGTTGCCTGGGGGCCCTTGCTGCTCCTTATCCCCTTACGGTCTCTCCTCACATTTGTCACTGCTTGTGCTGGGACATTGTTCTTTCTGGCCAAGGCACCACCGAGCTGCCCCTCACAGGGACACAGGCAAACAGTGGGCCCTAGGCTGGACGAGGAGCGGCCCAGCCAATGGGGATGGGGTCACTGAGAGGAGGGGCCCATGTGTCCTAGGCCAATGGCGTGTGGCAAGGGGAGCAGGTTCCCTGAGGACCCTGGCATCCCACACCAGCTGCCCCTGCGGGGCCGTCTGACTGCCAAGCCAGATTCTCTTGAATAAAGTATTCTAGTCCGGAAACAGCTTACCCAGGGGGGTGTGTCTGCTGAAGCAGCGGGCAGTAGCAGAAAATGGAAGCAGGACAAAGATATCATGGAGAAAATGGAAAAGCACAAGTTGTCTGACTCTCAGTTTCCTCGTCTTAAAAATTCGGCCAGAAATAGCACCCACCTCATCAGGTTGTGGGAGAGCACATCACAGTGTATGGCAACACGTTAGCTTTCTCCTCCCTCCCTTTGACAACTGAGGAAACTGAGGCCCAGAAAGGTGCAATGACTTTCCTGAGACCTGAGAGAGTCAGAAGAACCCTGAACTGTAAGGCAGAGGCCTGGACTTTGTCCCTAACTCAACAAGTGACATTGGGTTTCCCTCTGCCTCAGTTTTTCATCTCTAACACGCGGGCTTAGCTAGACACCCCTTCGATTTTGGCATGCTGAAGTGCAAGTGGGGCCCAGGCTCAAGTCTCAGTGGCCCTGGCATGGCCTCAGGGTAGCTCAGGCCTGCTCCTGGGGCACTCTCGGGTGTCTTCTTCCCAGCTGCTTTAGGCAAAACCCTGGGGTCCACTCCTCTCCTAATGAGGAGCTCCCAAGAGGTAGTCTTGCCCTCAAAGTTGGGGAAAGGCCTGGCCCCAGTCACCTGGGACACCATCAAATTCAAGTGCACAGTCCCTTTCCCCTTCCCCCAGGGCTGCCACACACCCAGCCCAGAGCCCAGCCCTCAAGACCCTGAGTGAGTGGGGCTCCCAGGCATCTCAGGGGGGATGTCCTATACTGGGCCCAAAGGGACTGAATTGCAATATCCTCAGCTTGTTCAGATTGCCAGAGGCAGGGAGTTGCAGATGCTGCTCAATTCGTTCTTCGCTTTTACCTCCCATCTTCCTCTGCCTTTCTCAATGCATTGGCATGGAACAGCAACAAAAAATACTCCTATTATTTTGTTTTTAGTCTAAACAATTTACTATCAGACTTTCCTGCAAGGTGCGTGCATGTGCCTTTTTATGTTGTGTGTGTTGGTGGGGAGGGAGTTCCCCACCCTCTCTTCTGCCCTGCTTCCTTATTTGAGCAGCTCAGACAAACCCACAGGCACCCAGGGGACAGGGGCCAGCTTCGGGCTTTGGAGAGAAGCCACAAATGGTCTGGTGGGGTGGGGTGGCCCTGCTGAGGCAGCTGCCTTTGGTGACCCGTTCACCGAGGCCTGGGGTCTCCTGGAGGACACTCTGATCAGAATGTACTTCTGGCTGGTGATCACAGAGTGGGTGTGGTCAGCCCCAGGGGACACTCACTTTGCAGAAGAAATGCACTTTCACTCTTGCTTCGCCACTCTTTGGCCACAGCTGTTGTGAGAGCTGTGAACAGCACACTGAGAGCTGAGAAGAGCACTCTTGTCCCTTGGCCAGGCCTCTGGCTCAGCCCCAGGAACCCCAGTCCAGCCCATATAGTATCTCCAAGATTCTCAGCTCCACAGGGTCATCCAGATGGAGGTCAGCCTCCCCCACTCCTCCCGCCCAAGCTAGTGACCCATGAACAGAGCTAGACAGAGATCAGGGGAGCTCCTGGAGGCCAGAAGCAAAAATCCACACCCATGGCCAGGAGCCTCCCAGCAGGAACAAGTAGGAAAGGAACTGACAGGCGCATTTGACCATGTCCACAGCCCATTCAGATAATTTAGGCTTCAAAGGACCCTTTTCATTTGTTCATCATTTATTTGTGGAGCACCACCTATGTTCTAGATACTGTTCTGGATACTAAGGTTCCATTGGAGAATCAAACACAAGGACCCTGCTCTTATGGAGCCTGCATTTCAAGTGGAGGGGACAAACCACAATCGTGTATTACTGGGCGGGTCTTTTATGTTGTTTGAATTGGTGGCTGGACCCAGAGCTAAGGAGAAAGGGGTCTTGAGTAGCCAAATTCTTTAAAAAAAAAAAAAGAAAAAACACATTCGCCTGTAGGATTTATTAAGAGGTGGCTGAAGCAATGCTGCTACCCCTAAACATCACACCAGCACTGCCTTCCTCAGTCCCCACAAGCAGAAGACCAAGGGGGGGCTGGAGGGAGAGACAAGTGGATGGGCTCACAGGAGTCCTGGGTGGTTGACCCCTTTCCTCCTCCTCTCTGGCACTGCATTCGCTCTTCAGTTTAGCCCACATGCTGTCTGAATGGGGAGTTGGAAGTGGAGAATTGAAGAGTGGCAGAAAGACAGAGAAGGTACATCTGAAGATATCCAGCAGGAGTTCCCCATGGGTCAGGTGGGCATGGTGGAAGGTGAATCTCCATGAGCTGTCTCGCTCAAGCTCTACCAAGGGGACAGCCTGCAGATGAGGAGATCCCACAGGCTACAGGTGGTGTGGTGAAGGCTGAGGCAAGAGCTAAGTGGGGGGTATAGAGCTGGAGAGGATCTCCTACATCAAGGAACTGTGCTGTGGTGGTCCTGCAGCATGCTTACAGGAGAGTTGGCATCTGAGTGCCTATCATGCCAGCACATTCATCACCAGAGAAGAAGTGGCCACAACTGAGAGGGACTTTCCCCCATCTTTCTTCCTGACCCTGTGTAAAAGAAAAGAAAGGGGCAGGGGAGAGGGAAGACAGGAGTACAAGACCATGCCCCTTCCCACTTATTGGCCCGAATTCAGGCCGTGTCTGGGGTCAGGGAGTCTTAAATTGGATGGACCAACCTAGATGAAATGTAAGTGACAGGAATATTAGAAGATCTGCCCAAGATGCTGTTAAGGAGCAAGGAGAATCTATAGTTCATCTGGAAGCAGTGATGGGAGAAAAAAAATGACTTGTTTGTACCCCACAGTTTGTTCAATAAGCAAATTACACATGCAAACACATAAATTAATAAGAAAAAGTCAGAAGATGGTATTGGCCATGTTACAGATGATCTTGAAATCTTTGGCACTCCCCTTGAGAGGTGAAGTCTATTTTCCCTCAATTTGAAACTGAGTTGGCCTAGGTCTGCTTTAATCAATAGAGTATAGAAGAAGGGATCCTATAATTGTCCCAAGCCTAAATTTCAAGTGGACTAGAAGCTTCTTCTTTGGTCTCTTGAAACCCTGAGCTGCCATGTAAGAAGTCCAACTACTCTGAGGCCACCATGTTGGAAGGAAGCCCAACCTAGCTATATAGAGATGTGGAAAGAGAAAGAGATGCTCAACCAGCCCCCCACTGCTCCAGCCTCTAGCCATTAGCATCATCTCACCTGAAGCCCCAGACATTATGCAGCACAGACAAGCTGTATCCACTGTGCCCTGTTTGATTTCCTGGCCCACAGAATTATGAGATATAATAATAATAAATTGTTTTGGAGCAGTTTGTTATGCAGCAATAGGTAACCAGAACAGAAAATAAGGCAAGGTAATGAGATAGTGTTTAGGGGCAGGTACCTCAGACCAGGAGGTTGTGAAAGGCCTCTTTATGGAGATGACATTTATAGTGAAGCTTGAAAGACAAGAAGGAGTTGGTCATGTGAAGATCAAAGGTAAGAACACTCCAAACAGAGGACACAGCTGATGCAAAAGTCCAAAAGGAATCCCTCTGTGGCTGGAGCATGTTGGGCAAGGGAGGAAGGGATGTAAATTGTGATGTTAGGTGAGTAGGGGCCAGATCATGAAGGGCTTTGCTGCCAGGGTAAGAAGTTTGGATTTGTTATAATGTGAGGGAACCCATTAGAGGGTTTCAAGCTGTGGAGTGAAGCTACCTGGGGAGATCGCTCTGGCCATCATGTGGAGAAAGGACTCTAGGGGTCATAAGACTGGAGGTACAAATATCAGTGAGAAGACTGGCAAATCCAGGCAAGCAGTTATGGTGGCTTGATCTAGGGAGTAGTACTAGGGATAGAGAGAAGTAGGTAATTTAGCCTTAATTGTAGACCTCGGCTGATTACCCTGATTGCTCATTTATTCATGAGCAATTTTTGGGTCTCCTAGGACCAGGCACTTTGTAGGAGACTCATGTGTGATGGGGCAAAATATATTAGCATGTGAAAGTCTTCCCAGTTTCCCCACCTGCTTGCTGAAGAAAATTCTATTCTACAAGAAATGAAGACAGTAAGAAGAGCAGTGTTAACTGGAGAGGCTAAGTTGTACTACCTAAGAAGCAAGAGAAGGCAAACTGGGAGAGGGAAAGAAATGATAGGCCTCAGGGAGAAGGGAGTTTGGGATTTGATTGTAGTGCATCTGATGATTTAAGACAAATTGGGGAGTGAAGGA